GGTTAGTGCAAACCTTTACAGGGAAATTCTCGCACTCTTCCTAGACCCACCCTTTTGCATAAGGGGGTGAGTACAAGGAAAATCGCGAAGTATTTGAACGTATGCAAGAGTAGTGTGCACGATTTCATATTGAATCTTATCTCTGAGACTAGCCATGCTGAGGTGTGGCCAAAGATGTCATAAGTCGATTAGTCCCATCTTATCGTGAATTGTCTTCGTCGTACCGTTGTAGGGTAAAATTACGAGTAGAGTGGCGAAAACTAGCGTGTCCGCCGCGAAACTTAGGGTAACATAGCACGGTCGACTGTCCACCCATTCACTAATAGAATCACGTTAAAATCTACGGGTCTCGTCACGGTGCAACAGTCGAAGAAGCCCCGACTGGTGGGGAAAATTATCTGGGTTCACGTCTGGTGAGGAAGAGGGTCACTCCAGTGCTACAAACCCATGCTCTCCAAGCCATTCCAAGCCTAGTTGGGACACATGGCTTAGAATGGCTTGGAGAACATGAGTATGTTACACTGGAATGACCCTTTTCCTCACCTGATCTCAACCCGGATTTTCTTTTGAACAGTCGCGACTTCTTCGACTGCTGCACCGTGACGAGACCTAAGGATCCTAGTGCGATTCTAATAGTGCAAGGATGCATAGTCGACCGTGCTATGTTACCCTAAGTTTCGTGGCAGATGCGCTAGTTTTCGCCAGTTTGCTCGTAATTTTTACCTACAATGGTACGACGAAGACGATCCATGATAAGACGGGACCAATCGACTTATGGCATCTTTGGCCACACCTCAGCATGGCTAGTCTTAGAGATAACATTCAATCTGAAATCGTACACAATACTCTTGCATATGCTCAAATCCTCCACGATTTTTCTAGTGCTCACCCCCTTATGCAAAAGCATGGGTCCAGGAAGAGTGCGAGAAGATCGCTGTAAAGGTTTGCACTAACCTCGTAGATAACATGCCTAGGAGGGTGCGGGTGGTGATCAAGGCCAAGTGACGGTTGACTAGGTACTAGAAACGCTGCTCGGAAGTTTGCTCTTTGTCTTTGGAAACAATTGTCCTGATGCACTCTTTGCATATCTTTTGGCACTAAGTTAGATCATGTGTACTATCATGGATTTTAGTGCTGTGAACACATCCACTATGTGCCCCTCCCAAAGCGTACCACCATTAAACATTGAGACTTTATGTACAGTGGTCGGAAAGCCCAAAAACCCTAATTAATGCAAAACATCCGGACAATTATTTCCGTCACTGTACATTTCACTTGGTCCAGCCCCTTGTTGAGTTTGTTTCGAGTCCCTTCGTGGTTGGGGACTCTGTGGTAGTGTACCACCAACCTGGACCTCAGCTCTTGGGGCTTGTAAAGGCTGAGAACCATCTCAATCTCGAATCTTCTTGCTAAGTTTGTACGTCTAAGACTATAGTGGCTACTATACCTCCTGCCGGTCAATCCGCCATAGCATCGCCAAATCTTTATGGAATTTCATGATTCAACTTGCTGCTGATAGGCGACAGCAACGCGCTCTAGATCCAACTTAAAGATCACCGTTTGGATTAACGACCAGATCGGAATCAATATTTGAAGCCGTCTGATGGAAATCCGACTGTGCTCCCTATCTCTCATTTTAGGCACATCTGAGCCTATTGTGATTATAACAGCCGCTGGTCGACGGGGCCGAGGGGCCGCTAGGGGACGGGGCTGCTGGGTCGCTAGGGGATGGGGCCGCGGGGCCGCTGGTCGACGGGGCCGAGGGGCCGCTAGGGGACGGGGCCGCGGGGCTGCTAGGGGACGGGGCCACGGGCTCGCTGGTCGACGGGGCCGAGGGGCCGTTAGGGGACGGGGCCGCGTGGTCGCTAGGGGACGGGGCCGCGAGGCCGCTGGTCGATGGGGCCGAAGGCCCACTAGGGGACGGGGCCGCGGGGCCGCTAGGGGACGGGGCCGCGGGGGCGCTGGTCGACGGGGCCGAGGGGCCGCTAGGGGACGGGGCCGCGGGGCCGCTGGTCGACGGGGCCGAGGGGCCGCTAGGGGACGGGGCCATTGGGCCGCTAGGGGACGGGGCCGCGGGGCTGCTGGTCGATGGGGCCGAGGGGCCGCTAGGGGACAGGGCCACGTGGCCGCTAGGAGATGGGGCCGCGGGGCCGCTAGGGGACGGGGTAGGCGAGACGGCTAGGACCTACGGTAGAAGCGCTGGTGGGCGAAGGGGACCTAACCTACTCATGATACCATAACAAACTGAAAGAATTACTAGAATGTGAGAGTACAAGGCATTATAACCTAGGGGGCTGTACTCTCTAAGGCACAACCCTATATGGCCTACAACATTACACACAAATGTGTTTGACACGCTATGCGCTCTAATCGCTACTGAAAGGGGCGCAACTGTTCGCGTGACTGAAACTGCCTGCTGGCGTAATCATCCAGACGAGCGCTATTTGCTGACGTTATTCTACGGATGCTAGGTACAGTATAACTCGACAATATCTATCGGAACTACTTATAGAAATGCTTAAGTACGATTGTATCACAACACTCCCCTTGATTTCTGGAAGTCCGATAGTGTCACTTCTTGATAATTCCGCAGAGTTTGTTGCAGTACTGAAACTTCTGATGTGTCAGCTTCTTTGTGAGGAAATCTGCAGCCATTTCATTCGTTGAGCAGTAGACCAATTGCATTCTCCCCCTCTCGACCTCATCTTTGACGAAGAAGTATCGTAGCGAAATGTGTTTCGTCCTATTGGCGAAACCGGGTTGGTGCGCAATTCTGATTGCACTTCGGTTGTCGCACTGCAGAGTGAACTGTGTACTTGTCGTCAATTTCGCTTCCTCCAGTAGCTCTTATAGATAGAGACCTTCGTGAGTAGCTGTGCAAGCAGCTATGAACTCAGCTTCAGAATATGATAGAGCTACGAGCTCTTGCTTCGTAGAATTCCATGAGATAGTCCCGATAGGTTCGAGATGGTAGATAAAGCCGGTGCGAGATCGACGATTGGAGGTATCTGCTGCATGGTCAGCATCGACGTACCCGTTGAGATATAGAGTTTTTGTAATTGTGACTTGATAGGTAAGTCCAAATTCTAGTGTCGAAATGAAATATTAGAGAGCGCGAAGAAGATCAAGCTGATTCTCCCCCTCAGGTCGACGCAAAAATTGCGCGAGCTAGCTAGCGGCATAGGCGAGATCCGGACGACACGTTACGGCTGATATCTTTACTAAGGCGCTTGCGCCTAAAGATCATCAGCGGCACTGTGTACAGCTTGGTCTTGTTCCTGTAGCTACTCACCTGTTAGGACCCTGATTGTGTACTCTCTATTATATATACCTGTCTGACTGGCCTTGTGGCCTTACCTCCAGTGGCTGGACTAGTAGTGCCTGTTCAAATTATACAAGTTATAATTTAATATAGGCTTGGTAGGTTGTTACTGAACCTTTCTGTAGAGCGTACAATCCCCTCCTTGTACTGCTCTCTCTTCCTAATCCCAACCTCTTCTTTCTCGTCACTTTTGCCTGCTCCTAGATCTACTTGCCTCACGCCATTCCATGGCGTCCTTCCTTCCTTCGTAGCTAAGCTAGGTTCCTAAGTTTAGTTCCTATCCTAAGCTTCTTTGAGATGGTATCAGAGCAGGAGATCCTCCCTGTTGGACCGCCTCCTCACGCTTCCGCCATTTACTCCTCACTCTCATTCGCTCGAGCGGCCATGGCGGCCGCGTTTTGCTGCAGTGGCGACGTCGCGCTGCCACTGGCCGCGTCGTGCCGCGACCGGCTCGACGCGCTGCGGCGGAGTCGGGCCGTCGTTCTGCAGCCGCAGCGTCGACGTCCCGCTACGGCACCGGCGCTGCCTCTGCCGTCGCGACGTCGACGTCCTGCTGCAGCGTCGACGTCGCTCTGTGACGGCGCCGTCGGGCCGCAGCCGGTTGCGCGACGCCTGTGACGCCGCCACCGCCCGCACGCCATCACGCCCACGACCTGTCGCGCCACACCGGGAGCTGCTGTCGCCCCGCCCCCTCCCCTCCCCCACCCACCTGCACCTGCTTCCCCTGCATCCCCCCCTTTCTTGCTGCAGCCGATGACTGCCTCATGAGGGCCCTCTCCACCGCCGAGGAGACTGGACATGCCGCCGAGAGGGCGGGGGCCGCTGCACCGGCCTCTGACGTTCAAGCCGCCGCCGCAGCCGCTGTTGCCGCGGGCCTGGTGTCGCCGCACGCCGCCGACGCCGCTGTTGCCGCGGGCCTGGTGCCGCCGCACGCCGCTGCCGCCGCCGCTGTCGTCACTGTCGCCGCTGCCACCATTGCCATCTCACGGGCCGTGGGAGCTGCCCTCTTCCGGAGTCGTTGCGGCTCCTGCTGGGAATGGGGGTGCTGGGCTAGGGGGTGTGGGTGTGGGTGTGGGTGTGGGGGTGTGAGTGGGCTTGACACTACCAAGCCTAGGGGGTGTGTTCAAATTATACAAGTTATAATTTAATATAGGCTTGGTAGGTTGTTACTGAACCTTTCTGTAGAGCGTACAATCCCCTCCTTGTACTGCTCTCTCTTCCTAATCCCAACCTCTTCTTTCTCGTCACTTTTGCCTGCTCCTAGATCTACTTGCCTCACGCCATTCCATGGCGTCCTTCCTTCCTTCCTAGCTAAGCTAGGTTCCTAAGTTTAGTTCCTATCCTAAGCTTCTTTGAGAGTGCCGCCCTGGCTTGATTTAGTCTTGCTTGTACCCCTGGTGACTGGTCTCAGGACCCCTATCTCACTGGTTGGACTAGTAGTGCCACCCTGAGATGTGTGCTTCTTGCTTAGCACCACCCCTTCTCTAGCCTAGGGGGTGTGTCAACTTATACATATGCTGTATGTAGAAGTTTTAGGCTAGCCTAGGTGTGTGCTTCTAATGAGTACAACCCCAACAGGTACATGTTCTAGGTTTCTCACACTAGTCCATTCATTCTCTCTTTCTAACAATACAAGCTACTCTTATTTTTGCTAGAAGTACCTGTTCGGTAATGTACCTGTTAAAAACTACTTGCACTATGCGCTCTAATCGCTACTAAAAGGGGCGCAACTGTTCGCGCGACTGAAACTGCCGGCTGGCATAATCATCCAGACGAGCGCTATTTGCTGACGTCATTCTACGGATGCCAGGTATAGTATAACTCAACAATATCTATCGGAACTACTTACAGAAATGTTGAAGTACGATTCTATCACCAGACACAACCCGCAAGCGCAGGAGAGAATCACACATGTCTAGACATGTATATACACCAGTACGAGGAGCCGCGATGGTTGCCAATGTGAGCGTGCACGATATAATACCCTAGTAACGCCCCTTGGTGCAGCAGCGGAGGGATCTTCATAGCAGGTACTGGACTATAGCCGGAGCAGTATGGTGGTGGTGCAGCAGGTGCATACTGCACCGGCACCACACAGCGCCTGCACACTACATCATGGGGATCTGGCGTCAGCACCCCCCCCCTTGAGCATTTCGGGCTATGCACGCCACTGTGCCTCGTGACCCTGCCTCGGGTGCGACGGTGCAGCCCCCAACGGAGTACCCCCCCCTGGACGATGTCTGCTTCGGGTGGGCAGCACGGCACGGCCATGGCCGCACCAGTGGCACACAAAAAGGGGCAGCCATGGTTGCCGTTGGGGATGGAGTGTGTGTGCCATGTATGTGGTATGTGCGTGTACGCTCGATTGTGTGTGCACCCCTGTTCTACCACACACTGACCTTACAGCTCGCTCTGCACGCTTTGACCTTTTGTTGTTTCCACAGTTGGCGCACACGAGGTCAGAGACCAAAGGACAAGCAAGAGGCAAGGGCGAGCACGAGGCAAAGGGCGAGCACGAGGCAAAAGGCGCCCACAAGGCAAAGGGCGCGCACGAGGTAAAGGGCAAGCACGAGGTAAAGGGCGAGCACGAGGCAAAGGGCGAGCACGAGGCAAAGGGCGAGCACGAGGTAAAGGGCGAGCACGAGGCAAAGGGCGAGCACGAGGCAAAGGGCGAGCACGAGGTAAAGGGCGGGCATACCGTGAGATAGAGGTGCAAGCGGTGGAGAAGCGCGCGCACGCCACGAGTGCGCGGGGGGTACGGCCGCTGGGCAACGTGCTGCCAGGCACACACAAGGCGCGAGAAGGGCTGCTCTCAGAACAAAGGGGACACAAGGAGCCGCTAACAGAACTGACGGGGCGGTGCATGGTGAGAAGCTGGGGAGGTCACCTGCAGCAGCAGCGAGAGTGCATGCAGGCGAGTGTCGTGTGGCCAATGCGCCCCCAGCAGCTCTGCAATGCTCACACGCACTCCATTGCCCTGCCACTACACACATGCGCCGCCGCTCATGGCATCACACGATCGCCTTGCCTCCCAGGTAGCACACAGCAGGGGAAACGCTACAGCATTGTGACTGCCTGAGGCACAGCCAACGGCAGGCAAGGTGTTGCAGGCATAGATGCGTGGGGCAGGGGGAAGAACAAGTGGTGGACGACACAGCAGCAGCGGGCTAGGAGCACGGGGAGGGAGTGGGTGGAAGGGGCGGGGAGAGAGGCACTGACTGAGGCGGGGAGCAGAGCGGCAGCAAGAAGGCGGTGGGCTGCTGCGAGACGGTGCGACCGCAGGGTGGCTGCCAGCGAGATGGTGCTGTGGGCCGCGGCGAGCAGAGCGCTGGGGTAGGAGGGGCAGGCAGGAGGGAATGCAGGGACAGAGAAAGAGCGAATGATGAGTGGGAGTGCACGGGAGGAGCGAGGCTCGTGGCACAGGGAAGAAATGCATCTGAACGTCAGGGTCCTCACAATCGCTCTGAGGTGGCTGCTCGTGGTGGTAAACTCCCCAACACACGGGCCCGCAAAGAGTGCACCGGAGTCCACCCCTGTCTCCCTTCCTCCCCCACCCCCTCTGCTCTCCCCCCGCTCCCTTCTCTCTCACCCACACGTGCACGCACCTGGCGTCGTGGTGGGGGAGGGCAGTGAGGGCATGGCGGATGCGGTTGCGCAGGAAGAGCGAGGACGCGTTGGAGGGGTCCTCGATCCATGCCTGCCCGTGGGCGCGGCACAGCTGCACCAGCTGCTGCTTGCGCACACCCAGGAATGGCCGCACCACCACAATGCCCTCGTTGCTGCGCCCGTCGCCAATGTCGCCAACGGGACTCTCCAAACAAGCGCTGCTGCTTCTGCCGCTGCTGCCAGTGATGCTACCAGTGGCGCTGCGTGCATGCAAGTGTGCGAGGCAGGGCGGCAGTGGGGGGGGCGAGGGCGGGAGGGAGGAGAGCAGCGGCATGCAGGCGAGTCCGTCGAGGCCGCTGCAGCGAGAGAGGCGCAGGAGCAGCAGCTCCGCCTGGTCGTCGGCATGGTGCGCCGTCATCAGCACCGCCAGCCCGCGCTGCACACACTCCCACTGCAGCAGCGCGTACCTGGTGGGGCACGCGGGGCAGGGCAGCGTGACATGGTGCGAGTCCAAGTGGCTCCTGACTATGAGCTGTAAGGTGGAGTAGAGACGTGAGTGGCAGAGCATCCTGCAGCGAGGTGCAGGGAAGCAGCAATCCCTGGAGCAAGCGAATGCAGCTGCGGGGGTGCGGGCAAGGGCAGTGGGAGTGGGGGGTCACCTCTGCGCCCTGGCCTCCTGCTGCATGCGGCTCACAGGGGGCGGCCCGTGCGGCCAGCGGCACGTGAGCAGCACAGCATGCAGCCCTGCACACATGGGCGGCACGCAGCAGGGGGGATGCGATGCAGGTGGGCGCAAAGTGACAGGCGATGGGGGGGTCATGCGTGCACATGCTCCACAGGGATGCATGGGTGCATGAATGGCTGAGTGCATGGGTGCGTGCGCGCATGGGTGCACTGGTGCATGGATGCATGGATGGATGAATGAAGAAGTGAGACTCAGCTATGAACAGTCACACCATGCCATTCCAGTTTCGAAGCAAGAAAAACAATGCATACAGCATGCATCACAATGCAACACATGCAGTACGCAAGCAAGACACCATGCATACACCACAGCGTGGCAGCGCATGCGAGGCGCCCACCTAGTTGCGAGAGCAAGTCCACGGCTCGCTTGGCGTCGTGCGCGCTGCCGGCTCGCAGCGCGTGGTCCACCACCATCGCCACCACTCGCACCCCCCCACCGCCCTCCTCATCCCCACACTCCTCCTCCTCATCCACCTGCTGCTGCTGCTGCTGCTGCCTGCCGTGCCGGCCTGTGTGCAGCATGTGCGCGGCAGTGAGGGCGAGCGCCATGCTGTCCACACCGCCTGACACCGCCACACCCACGCCCACACCTGGCTGGAGAGGGCGGGGGGGATGTGGTGGGCGAGGATCAGAGGGGGCGGCAGGGGGGAGAAGGCGGGGAGGATGTGGTGGGCGAGGGCATGAGGCGGGCGCATGCTGGAGTGGGGGCGAGTGAGCGGAGAGTGAGAGGTGTACTGGGTGAGAGGTGTACTGGGTGAGAGGTGTACTGGGTGAGAGGTGTACTGGGTGAGAGGTGTACTGGGTGAGAGGTGTACTGGGTGAGAGGTGTACTGGGTGAGAGGGTACCTGGGAGAGAGGGATACCTGGATGAGTGCGAGTATCCCCAAGGCGTGCAGACTGGAGCGGAGGGGGGAAGCCCGGCGGAAGGCGGTGCTGTGGTGCCATGGCGGCGGGCCACAGCCCCACTCGCTGCAGCAGCTGCTGCAGCCCGCCCTCCTGCACCACGTGTGGTAACCCGGCGGGTGTGTAACGCGGTGGGTGGGCCTCGGAAGGCTCTGCGCCATTCGCGGCGAAGGAGTGAGGGAAGTGCTCCTCCAGATGGCCCTCGGAGCGCCGTCCGCCGTAATGCCCTTCGCCACTTCCTCCCGCTGCTGCCGTCCCTCCCCCACTCGCATCCTCGTCTCGTCCTTGTTCCATACTCCCCCGTCCCTGCTCCCCCCTTCCCCTCACCCCCTCAGCCCTTTCACCTGTCCGCTCCCCTCCCTCGCCCCCTTCCCCCCGTCCCTCGCCGTCCGCCGCGCTAGGCCCGCTCGGGCAGCAGCTCGCGCGGTCGGAATCGGGTGCGACATGCGCGATCCCTCGCGACGCACCCAGCACGGCCCGGGCGACCAGCAGCGGCTGCAGCAGGTGGCGGGGCGGCAGCGGCCATCGCGGCGACAGGTGGCACGGCATGCGAGGGGTGGCGCGGGGGGGGGGGGCGGGGAGAGATGAGGGAGTAGAGGGCTCCAGACTTGGCTGGCTCGCAGGCGATGTGCGCGCGAAGGAAACGTTGCCCACCCGACACGACGTGACCCAGCCTCACGCAAAGTGTACCTGTCGACGTTCAATCCAATTCGCGCTTGCATAAGCGCGCGTTCCGAATTCGGGTCAATCTTCGTGTCAGGAAGCTGGCTCGAAGTTAAACTGGGCTCCTGAATTAAATTTTGACAGGTTTCAAACCCGCGTACCAAACGTCCCAAATCTGCCTTATCCTTCCTACCTTCGTTTGAGAGTTCCCTAGGAGAACTTCTCCACAACCAATTCCGTCCTCTTAGCCAACCAACCTACTACTTGACACACGGGTTTTAAGGTTCAGCACAACTTTGGCAAAATGGCCCGCCCGGGTCAGGTGGACTTCTTCTGGGTTGTCTGCCACGAAGATTGACAGGAATCCGGAATACTCCCTAAAGCTGACAGGAGTGTACCGGGTACAGAAAGTCTGTACCAGCTATAGCGAAAGTTGTTTCACATGAAATAACCCCATGGAATTCGTGTTGTTGCTTTCACTTTTTGTTGTTTCTATATCACCTCACCACTCGTGCTGCTGTTGGATTGGATCACTGGACCTGTCAGAACCTGTGTAGGGCATTTGGTTATAGCATCCTCCACTCCACTCTGCAATTTGCAATCCAGCGAGCCTAAGTCCTAAGAGAGCACAGCCATGACATCGGACGACCTGAGCACCACATAGGGCGAGCCATCCTTGCCCTTGAATTCATTGCCCGCGAACTTGGCATAGAGCACAGTGGCACCCTCTGCAATGTCCACAGGCTTCCTCGACCCATCCTCGCCCAGGGCCCCAGGGCCGACAGCGATCACCTGCGCGAGGGACGAGCGGGGATGAGGAAGTCATGGTGTGAGGGACGGAAGGTCGTTTCAAGGCTGGTAGAGGTGAAAATAAGATGAGACAAGCGAGGAAGGCCAAGAGCCAGATCAAATTGCCAGCGTTGATGTGTGCAAGGAATTCAGCGTGTGCGAGGCCACAGGCACGGGGCGCGAAAGGCAGTGGAATTGCAGGGGGGGCATGGGGTAGCAACGTACGGCGCCGACGACTGGCTTCTCCTTGGCGCTCTCCGTGAGCAGCACTCCGCCCGCCGTCTTGGACTCCGTCTCCACCACCTGTCACACCCACACCACGCCACGCCCACGCACAACCGCACTCAGGAACGCCGTGCACCACTGCCACACGCGCTGGTCGCGCAAGCAATCAAAGGTCAGGGAGCTTGGGGGCGAGAGCCAGAGGCGCAGCGCCACGGGCACAAGGGGAGCGCATGGAGTGAAACGCACGTCCGCACGAATGGACCCCGGCAACCAGTCGGTGGGGCAGTCTGGGGCATGTGCTCTTGGTGCATGCACACTACTGCTTTCCACCAGTGTGGCGGCCAACAGGGACTACAGCGTGCGAGATTTCGCCCATGGAGAGGCGACGCGCGGCACACTGCGTGGGTGATAGAGCCACGACCGAGAGACGCGCTGATTGTTCGCGGTCAACACCGACCTGCGCACTGCAGGCCATACCATGCGGCGGCACGGCATACGAGAGACGTTGTGCAGGGGGGTCACCTTAATGAGGACGCGGTCGTTGAGCGGCTTGAGGTCCGCGATGTCGTCCGTGGCCAGCACGCCCACGATGTCGTCCTCCTTGAGCAGCAGGTGCGGCGCGCCGTTGAAGTCCAGCTCCACGCCCGCGTACTTGCTGTACACGATGCTGCCGCCCTCCTGCCACACCGCCGACCACGCATCGCACATGCTCCACGAGGACCAGTGAGCTTTCATATGCTTTTTGCCTGCTGACGCCGTCGTTATTTCTGACACGGCGGATCGCGTAAAGCGCCGTGATTTATTAGCCTCCACATACGTGCGGCGACACCACTCGCCGCTTGCACAACGGTGCGCGACCAGCACATCCGCCACAGCCCACCATACACCCACAACCCCGCTCTCCCCCTTTCTTCGCGACCAGCACACACGCACAAGCACAACCCCGGGCGCAAAGTGAGTGCAGAACCCTCAACCCCCGGCCACTCACGGGGACGTCGACGGCGACCTTCTTGTCGCCCAGGGTCCTGCCAGAGCCGACGGCCACGACGGTGCCGCCCTGCGGCTTGGTCTGCGACGACGTGGGCAGCAGGATGCCGCCCGTCGTGCGCTCCTCCACCTCCTGGATCCGCACCAGCACGCGGTCGCCCAGCGGCCTCAGCCCCGTGAACTGCGCGCAGGGAACATGGGCACCGGGGGGAAGACGTGGGGGAGGGGGGGGAGCGGGCCGGGGCGGGGGGGGGAGGACGGGAGGGGGGGAGGGGATGCAGCCATGGTTGTGATTGAATGCGGTGGTTGCAATGGGTATTGCACGCGATGCGCAAGGCAGAGGGTCTGCCCTCAAGCACTCCGATCCGACAGCAAAGCAGCACGCGACTCAGTGAGTGTCAGCCTTCGTCTTACCGTGGGCGCTACAGTGGTGGCGGCCCTCACGACAGCTCGGCGTGCTGCACACGCCCCCTGCGACAGTTGAGGCGCGGCGGTGCCCTGTGGAGCAGCGCGCAGACCAGAGAAGGAGGAGAAGGCGGAGCGGTGCGAGCACGTGGCCGCGAGGGCAGCCTCTGTCAGTGCCACGTCAGCACGAGCGAGACTTGAGCTGAGAGTGGCCATAATGCCTGTCTGAGAGAGGCCGTTGACGCGGGGCGCGGAGGGGGGTCTTGATGCGGTTGCTGTCAACAAATGGTAAGGGCGACAGTGAACGACAGAGTTGCTGACCAGATGCCAAATGAAGCAAGCAGAGGGGGGAGTGCGAGATGTGTTTGCGATGGTGGCAGGCGGAAATGGAGAGGGCCCACCGCGCGGGGGAATGCAGGGAGGGGTGTGTGGCGGTGGGTGGAGTTGGTCACACAGATATTCGTGAGTAGGATAAAGAATGACAGGAGAGACATCTAGAGAAGTCAGCGTGGCCGATCCTACGGTGCAGAGAAAGCCGATGAGAAAGTGCAGCCATGGATGCCCTGTGCCACACAGAAAAGTTGATGCCACGTGTCGAGTGGAATGGTGTGAAAAGGAGCTTCTAGGACACGGATGCAACATTCCAGAAGCTCCTGTATAACGTGGTCTCCGATTCAACTAATAGTCAAGAATGACAAGCATCTCGTCATCTTACAGTTAGAGGGGAAAGGGGGAGTGCGTTACCCAAAAACATTTTCAGAATACAACCAGGCTTGTTGACAATGCGTTTTCAGATACAGTTTTGAACAGAGATTCACTTTTACAGTTCCAATCATCAATAACTGTTCTAATAAAACCGTATGAATCATACCCATGATTCTTCGTAAGACTTGGGGATGACTCATTATCATCAGGCTTGTTTCTAATTCTTCATACCGAAGGAAATTGTAAGTATTGAATCAAATGAACCCATTGGAACTCTCTAGAGCACTATTAGGCAGAATTCCTCTAGCACCGACAGTGCATGCATTGATAACAGTGGTCATAAGGATCTTTATTATTGTAATGCAAGTCTCAAGGTGACGAATTGGCTACAATAATGGGTAGAGGGTGATTTTGAACTAGAGTAATATACTCTCTAAGAGCATGCACCTATCTAGCCTATAATAACATATATATATATATATATTGTCAAACATGTGTAGTTATCATGTTTGTATAGACTGTATAGGGTCACCTGTCAACTTATACATATTATCTATGTAGAAGTTATAGGCTAGACTGAGGTATGCTTCTAGTGAGTACAACCAACTAGTATTTGTTCTAGGTTTCCACCTCTAGTAATCATTCGTTTCTACGTTAACATGGTATCACGCTTAGGTTAGGATCCCCCCGCCTACCGCTTCCGCCCGTCGCGCCTCCTAGGCCCCGTCGCACGAGCGGTTCGCTGTCTGTTCTGAGGCTGTCTCAGGTTCCCCCCTTGCGACGTTCCCCCGGGACCCGGTGTCCGGTCTGTTTACCCTACACACCGCTTCCCCCCCGGTTGGTGCGTCCTCCCAGGTCGCTGCAGCTTGCTCGTGTCGGTCCCTCACTCACCCCTCCCTTCTCTGGCACCACCGCTTAGGTCACCCTGCTCTCCCGCGTCTGCGTCACATGTCCCAGCACGGTCTTGTCTTAGGTCTCCCCGCGTCGCTCCCTGCCCTTCCTCCCTCGACTGCGCCACCGTGCACGCCTTGCGTCGAGGGTCGGCTCCGCCGTGCTCCTCACTCCTCCTCGCTGCGTCCTGCTACTGCCCCCCTTCAGACCCTGCACTTGGACGTTTGGGGCCCTGCCCCCGTCCCCGGACCGCGCGGTGAGCGCTACTTCCTTGTGCTCGTTGACGACTACACGCGCTACACCACGGTGTTTCCCCTGGAGCGGAAGGCCGACGTGCCCGACGTTCTTCTCCCGTGGGTTGTAGCTGCGCGTCTCCACCGCGGTCTCCCCGTGTTGTGTCTCCACTCCGACCGTGGCGGCGAGTTCGCCTCTGGTCGGCTTGGACAGTTCTGTCGTGCGGAGGGCATCACCCAGTCGTACACGTTGCCGGACTCGCCACAGCAGAATGGGGTTGCTGAGCGCCGCATCGGCTTGGTCATGGAGGTCGCCCGTACCTCCATGATCCATGCCGATGCCCCCCATTTTCTGTGGCCGTTCGCTGTTCGCTACGCGGCTCACCAGCTTAACCTGTGGCCACGCTCCCAGCGGCCGCAGGTTTCGCCGACCCTCCTTTGGACCGGGTCCCCCGGTGACGCGTCTGCGTTCCACGTATGGGGCTGCCTTGCTCACGTTCGTGCCTCTGGCACGGACAAGCTCACTGCCCGCACTGTCCCCTGTGTCTTCCTCGGTTTCCCCCTGGACTCATCTGACTGGCTTTTCTACCACCCGCCGTCTCACCGCTTCCTCCACTCTCGTGACGTCACCTTTGACGAGTCCGTCTCCTTCTACCGCCGCTTCCCTCACCGAGGTCTCCCAGTTGCCCCCCCCCTTTTCCTTGCTCCCTCTCCCCCGGTAGCCCCTGCCCCTCTCCCGCCTCGTCCTGCCCCGTCTGGTGTCTCCCACGTCACTCCCCTCCCGTCGGTTGTCCCCGTTGAGGAGTCTGCTGACTCTGGTGGTACCCCCGGTCCGTCCTTGCCGCGTCCCCCTTCCCCAGTGCCTCCGCCCCCACTGTCGCAGTCGCCGACCCCGCTGCCGCCGCCGTCGCCGTCGCCGCCGCAGCCGTCGCCGCTGTCGCCGCCACTGCCGCCGCTGCTCTCGGCCCCTGGGGGTGCTGGTGTGGAGGAGGGTGTTCGTCCTGCGGCTTCTGGGGGTGCCGCTGGTGTTGGAGGGGGTTCTCGCTCTTGGGGTGTTGGTTCTGGGGGTGCTGCTGTTGAGTGTTCTGCTGACGGTCGTTCTGCCTCTGCTGGTCCGAGAGTTCCGGCCCAGCCGTCGTCGCCGCCACAGCAGCCGTCGCCGCCGGTTTCCGCTCTCCGCCTGCTCGGCCTTCCCTCCCCGGACCGCGCGCCGGTGTCTCCCCCACCGCCTCCTGACCTCCCTGTCTACGGTCCTGTGTTCCCGCCGCCAGACTCGTCTCCGGCCCGTCTTCCTCCTCGTTCCCCTCCTGTGTCTCCTCCGCTGTCCCCTGACCCTACCCCTCCGTCTCACGTTTGGGCTCGCCGTCCCTCCCGTGCTCGTCCCGTCTCTCCTGTCCTGCCCACCCACCCTATGTTGCTCCGTTCCCACTCGTCTCGTCCTCCCCTCCTCCCGTCCCCTCCTCCCTCGTCCCTTGCTGTTGCACCTCCTCCGTTCTCTGACTACCTCCGTGCTGCTCGTCCCCTTGTCCCTCGGGTCCTTGCCTCTCTTGTTACCGACCCTGCTGTGCCTGTCTCGCGCCTTGACACGCTTGTCGCTGCTGTCGCTGACTTCGCTTCTACCCGCCGCCTTGACTACGCTACCGCTCTGGTCTCTGACCCTGCCCGTCCTCTGTCCGTCGGGGGTGCTCCTGCCCTTGGCAGTGACGTCCTAGAGGACAGGCAGTACGAGCTTGCTTTCCTTTCCGAGGCTGCTCCCCATCTCTGCTCCATGCTGTTAGTCCCTGAGGGTGACCCAGACGCCTTCGACATCCCGACCCCTCGCACCTACGCTGAGGCCACCTCGGGACCTTGGGCCTCTCAGTGGATAGCTGCCATGGAGCAGGAGATGGCATCTTGGAGATCCACCGGCACTTACGTCGACGCAGTTCCCCCGCCTGGGGTGAACGTAGTCGATGGTCGGTGGCTCTTCAAGGTGAAGCGCCCCCCTGGAGAGCCGCCTGTCTTCAAGGCGCGCTACGTGGCCAGAGGTTTCAGTCAGCGCGAGGGGGTTGACTTCTTCCAGACCTTCGCCCCGACCCCGAAGATGACCACTCTTCGGGCGCTGCTACACGTAGCAGCACAGCGTGACTACGAGCTTCACTCTCTCGACTTCTCTACTGCCTTTCTTCAGGGCAGCCTACACGAGCAGGTCTACCTGCGCCGACCACAGGGCTTCACTGGTACCTTCCCTCCTGGGACCCAGTGGCTTCTCAGGCGCCCGGTCTACGGCCTGCGTCAGGCTCCCCGCGAGTGGCACGACACGCTACGTGCCACGTTAGCAGACCTGCAGTTCTTTCCGTCCTCTGCTGACCCTTCACTGTTTGTGCGTTCCGGCCAGACTCCGTTCTACATCCTTGTCTACGTAGACGACCTGGTCTTCGCTACTCCTGACAGGGACGCACTGGCCTCTGTGAAGGCTGAGCTGCTGAAGAGACACACCTGCACTGACCTTGGAGAGCTGCGTCGCTATCTTGGCCTGCAGATCTCTAGGGACAGAGCAGCACGCACCATCACTCTGACCCAGTCACACTTGGTGCGTCAGGTCCTTCAGAGGTTCGGTCTTCAGTTCTCCTCCGCACAGCCCACACCTCTACCCGTAGACCATGGGCTCTCTGCTCCCGTTCCTGAGGAGCCAGTAGAGCCCAGTGGCCCCTACGCAGAGCTGGTGGGTTGCCTCATGTACCTGATGACTTGCACTCGCCCAGATCTCGCATACCCTCTCAGCATCCTGGCTCGCTTTGTGGCTACAGGCAGACACCGACCTCAGCACTGGTCTGCCGCTAAGAGGGTTTTGCGTTATCTTGCTAGTACATCAGGCATGGGGTTAGTGCTAGGAGGACGCAGGCCAGTGGTCCTTACTGGGCACACAGACGCTTCTTGGGCAGACGACGCTGAGACGCTCAGGTCGTCGCAGGGCTACTGTTTCAGCCTTGGTTCGGGTGCTATCTCTTGGAGATCCACTCGCTCGTCGTCTGTGGCTCAGTCTAGCTGTGAGGCTGAGATCTACGCTGGTGCCATGGCGGCACAGGAGCTCCGCTGGCTGACCTTCTTGCTCACAGACTTAGGTGAGCGGCCTAGCTCTGCCCCGGTCCTGTACGCTGACAACAGGGCCATGATACTCCTGTGTCAGGAGCCTCGGCTTGAGGGCAGAGCGAAGCATATCCAGCTGCGGTACTTCCTCCTGCGCGAGCTACAGCAGCGCCGCCAGGCCCGCGTAGTTCACTTGGCCTCAGGTGCCAACACAGCTGATATCTTTACGAAGGCGCTTGCGCCTAAAGATCATCAGCGGCACTGTGTACAGCTTGGTCTTGTTCCTATAGCTGCTCCCCTGTTAGGATCCTGATTGTGTACTCTCTATTATATATGCTTGTCAGACTGGCCTTGTGGCCTTACCTCCAGTGGCTGGACTAGTAGTGCCACCCTGGCTTGCTTCAGTTTTGGTTGTATTCTTGCTGACTGGTCTCCAGACCCCTGCCTCAGTGG